GCAGGAATTGGTCGAGCTCTTCATTGACGACAAGCCTGTACAAGTACCACCGGGAACAACAGTCTTACAGGTTTGGGTTAATATATGTTTCATATATATATATATATATATTATCTCTGAATTCAGGCGAACTTATGTTAGATACAAGACTAATTAAATTTCTGCTTTATACACAATTTTGATATTTCTCAAGTTAGGTTCTTAACATAAGAAACGTTCTTGTTTTTCCGTGAGAAAATTATATAAAAACTTTTTTTAATCAATTTTATATAAATTATAACTTTAGAGATTACATTGAAAGAAGATCCTTATTACAAATATTATTGCAAATTATATATAATATTTATAATAATTTAAAATTAATATAATGAATAATAAAACACATTAACATTTATGTAATTTTTTTATCTTTTAGGCTGCTGCCAAAGTAGGAGTTGAAATACCAAGATTTTGTTATCATGAACGTCTTGCTGTAGCTGGTAATTGCAGGATGTGTCTTGTTGAAATAGAAAAGCAAGTTAAGGTATATAACATAGCACAATAAATAAAAGAATAAGATGGATCAAAATTAATTGATTATATTTATCTTATTTTTATTTTACAGCCAATTGCTGCATGTGCTATGCCAGTAATGAAAGGTTGGAAAGTGAAAACCAACTCCGATTTGACACGGAAAGCTCGCGAGGGTGTTATGGAATTTTTATTGGTTAATCATCCATTGGACTGTCCAATCTGTGACCAGGGTGGTGAATGTGATTTACAAGATCAAAGCATGGCTTTTGGATCTGACAGGAGTAGATTCGTCGATATTAATTACTCTGGGAAAAGAGCAGTGGAAGATAAAGACCTTGGACCCTTAATCAAAACAGTTATGACACGCTGCATACATTGCACAAGGTGCATTCGGTTTGCTTCAGAAGTAGCTGGTATTGATGATTTGGGAACTACTGGTCGTGGTAATGATATGCAGGTATGCTTAAGATTTAATTTGTATATTTAGATAATTATAATATAGAAATACATCAGCTTACATTGCAAATATCTGCCAAAATAAAAGATAAATTATTTCCATTTAATTTTATCATATTATAAGATCGTATCAAACTTTTCAATTTTTTTAAATGTTTTGAAAAACTAAAAAATATACTTTATATACAAATGAATAATCGTTTTATATGATCATGATAATAATTGTTATTACTATAGTAATTATTCCAAGAGATATATTTGTGTCACAATTATATAATCATTTTAAAGGTGGGAACATATATCGAAAAGATGTTTTTGTCAGAGTTATCTGGCAATATCATTGATCTTTGTCCTGTGGGTGCATTAACCAGTAAACCGTATGCGTTTGTTGCTCGTCCATGGGAAACACGTCGCACGGACAGTATTGACGTTCACGATGCCGTTGGTAGCAACATAGTTATCTCTCACAGAACCGGTGAAGTTTTGAGAATACTACCAAGAGTAAATGAGGTAAATATTCTTATCATGCTTGCAGCAAATATATTAGAAAGTACATAATTTTGTGATATACTATTAATAATAATTATACAATTGATAGGAAGTGAATGAGGAATGGCTTTCGGACAAAGCTCGTTTTTCATATGATGGACTCAAAAGACAAAGGCTCATTACGCCAATGATCAAAATTAACGGAAAATTGCAAGCTGTAGATTGGGAGGATGCGCTCGTTGCTGGTAAAATTGGATTTGTTATTCATTTGTATCCACTAAATTTGTCATGTTTTATTAATTTGAACTATACATATAACATTCTGATGATTAGCTGCTAGATCCATAGCGAATGTGCCGGCAGATAAATGTGCTACGATTGCTGGGAAATTGGCAGACGCGGAGGCTCTTATCGCCATGAAAGATTTAGTGAACAAATTGGGTAGCGAAAATTTAGCGACGGAACAATGTTTCCCGAAGGATGGATCGGGCATCGATCTCAGAAGTAGTTATCTATTGAATAACACTATTGCTGCTATTGAAGATGCAGATGTCGTACTATTGATTGGTACAAACCCGAGATACGAAGCACCACTAATAAATACGCGTCTCAGGAAAGGCTATATACATGGCGAACAAACAATTGCCCTTATCGGTTCGGACGTAGATCTAACATACGAACATGAGGTATTAATTTTTATCTATTTTATGTTATATTTCTTCTGTAGCAATATATTCTTATAAAATATAACATCTTTCTTTTTATATAGCATTTGGGAGAATCCTTCGACGTAATAGCAAAATTATGTGACGGTTCACATCCATTTTCGGCAACTCTGAAAGAGGCTAAAAAACCACTTATTATCTTAGGTGCTAATCAGCTAACTCGAAAAGACGGAGCTAGAATTCTCTATGAAACGCAAACATTGACGAAGGCTTTAGGAGATAACTCGAAAGTAAATTTTCTTTTAATTTCTTTTATGTGATAATTTTATAGAAATTGTAATAATTATTTATCTTTTTGGGGTTTTAGGCTTCCCAGGATTGGAAGATTTTAAATATATTGCATACAAATGCTTCTCAAGTCGCCGCCTTAGATATCGGTTATGGTTCGACTGTAGAAGAAATCAAAGAGCAACAACCGAAAGTTTTGTTCCTTTTGGGTGCTGATGATACAAATATTAAAAAAGAAGATTTTCCAAATACATTTATCATTTATATAGGTATGTATAAACACATGTGTGTAATGCTAAACAACCTGAGGTTGGCAGCAGTCGGGAGTAAAAAAGAATATTTTAAACTATTATATATTCTTATTAAAATCAATTTCAAAAAATTTATTATATTTTTCATATATCATTGATTATCTTTATATATATTTACAATTGTTTATATTTTATTTAACTCTATATATAGCAATATCAATTTATAATTTTTAATTAACTATGTTGTTACACTAAATGTCACTTTATGATTTTAGGAAGTCACGGTGACGCCGGAGCGGCCATTGCGGATATAGTACTAGCTGGAGCAGCATACACTGAAAAAGTTGCAAGTTATGTTAATACAGAAGGACGCTCCCAACAAACGTGCGCGGCAATTACACCACCTGGTTTAGCACGTCCAGATTGGAAAATTATTCGTGCCCTTTCCGAGGTAAATAAATAAATACCCATAGCAAAATGCGTAAATGTTGAGACTGCTAAATTAAGTAATCAAGATATATATACATGTGATAATTATATACTTTATTATATTATAGATGGCTGGTATTACTTTGCCATATGATAATTTAAACGAAATTAGATTCAGGCTTGAAGAAGTCGCGCCACATTTGGTACGATATGGTAATATTGAACCAGCTAATTTCTTTACACAAGCTTTGGAGATAGCCAAGGTTTGTATCTTGATTAAATATGCAACAAATTTCTTAAATATAAGGACAATATTATCTATATATACTGTTTATATCATGTAGCAACAATCTGGAGGATCACTTTTACCAGACCCCGTTGACATCAAACAAAAGACATTGGATCAGTTTTTCATGACTGACGTAGTATCACGAGCATCTCCAACTATGGCAAAGTGCATTCAAGCAGTCATGAAACAACGACAAAGTGCAGTATAAATCATTCAATATTGTATTGAATAAAATTCTCATCTAGTAGTTATTTGGTAATACTGGCTAGATATTGACATCTCGCAGCCAGTAATAAAATAATTACAGAAACAAAGCATTAAAATGTATTTATAGAACTCTGTATATTAAATAATTCTGAAAATGGGAATCTATAAATGTTGGTTCTATTGGTCCCATTAATTGTATATTCGTTGTTAATAGGATAATATTAAGCTATTTAAAATAAATATAATAAATTTATTTGTTTTGAGTAATTTTTTATATACAAATATCGTTAGTAGAAAGTGCTTAAATATTAAATTATATTGAATATATTACAGGAATGTTTGAAACGATAATTTCTTCCGTTACGCAATTTACTTTTACAAGAATTACATCATTTTTTGCAAACTCGCTGAATACTTAAACAAAAAACATTAGAACATAATTGTGCAGAAGTACAATAATATAATTTACTTTATTTAAAACATTTTTTCATTAAATGTGTAATTTATATATTTTAGCTTTTCTGAGAAGTACTAATATTTGTTGCACTTAGCAACTGTTATATTTGTATATACATTTGAAAATACATTTCATATTTTTACAATATTTATAACACAAAATAAAATTTTATAGAAAAAGAAACGTGTTTACTATATATAAAAGAAAAATTCTGTTATTAATTTATCTGAGATATCAATTAGAGAATGTCTTAGTTACTAGATTCCGGTTGATCATCTGTATCAAGTTCACCTGAACTTTCATCAGACTCGACCTAAAAACAATTACATTTTAGTTGTAATGATGTATTGTGTACACGGTTTCATAAAATCGTACCTTATCGCCTAATTCAATTAATCTTTCTTTATACAGCATAATTTTACTATCTTGATCAGTCAAAAGTTCTAAAAGATCTTCTTGGTCTTTTTTCAATTTTTCAAGCTCATCTGCCTTCAATTTTAATTGATGCTCTAATTCTAATTCCTTCTTTTCATTATTTTTCTCTTTGTGCTCTTGTGTTATGTGTATATATTCAGCTAAACGATTTTCTAAATCTGCAACCATTGTTTTGTATGTCTGCAATTCTTTTTCTAGATCTATAGTACTAGAAGCAACTGTTTCTTTTCCATCTCCTATATTCGTTTGTGCAGCTCGAAGAACCAAATTTTGATCTCGTAAATGATTAACAGTCGATCGAAGTTCTTGTAGTTGTGTCTATAATAGTTAAAAAAAATATATTAATTATATATATATATATATACATTAAAAAAAGAGATATTGATTTGGTACCTCAAGTTCTTGTTTTTCTTTTAATAAAATATCATTAGCTTGATTTAGCTTTTGAATTTGCACATCTTGCTCTCTTATAAGATCTTTGTATTGCAAAACCAATGTATTATCAGATAAACTCATAGATAACTGATTTTTGTTCTGATGTTCATTATTAGCCTCTATCACTGATTTTATTATAACACCTAAAGAAAAAAAATCTTATTTGCATTTTTAAAAGAAACTGAGAATGTTAAATTTTTTTTATAAATATCATTATAAAAGATTTAGATATTATTTAGATGTACTTGATATGTGATTATAAAATATCATGTATAATATATAAAAGTATACCTTCTAAACTTTTCAGCAATCTGCAAAATTCGTGATCCAGTAGAAGTTCTGACGGGTTTTTTGCCGAGGGCTGTGGATGTTTTAGCGTTCGAGAATATATCTCGTGTTTGCCAATACCACCAATCGCGTCTTGAAATTTTTCCACACCTATTCTATTCTCAATTAAATTGCACACTTTTTCCTACAAGATATAATATATAAAAATTATAGCATTATATTATATATGTTTCAAGTATAATTTTTCGGTATTATTAGTTATTTACCTTTGTATAGGTAGGTACACTATCGTCATTAAAATGTACGCAAATGCCGATAAGTAAAGCGCACATACTCTGCAGTAAAGTTTCTTGTAAATCATCGTTATTCTCTTGCGATGAAAGAAGAGCTGTTAGGTACGCCACCGAGGAGTCAATAGCTAGGAATGATTTTACTGCAAGTGGACAATACGAGGTCCATCGACAGAGCAATATTAATAGGCCCAATTTACACTGTGTCTTATTACCCTGTTGCAACAACATAACGCATTGCTGCATAAGTGTTACTGGTGGTTTCCCTATATTGGTTGCAAGAAGCACTCTTAGAAGCTGTTCCTTCTGGCTTATGTTCTCGATCAAAGCGTGAGATAACGCCACGGCGGAGAACCAATTCGACAGTGAATCTGTAGAGAATAATCCGCCGCAAAGCAACTGTCCTAACAACAAATACAGGATTGGCATCATTCCATTGTCAGAACTTTTGTTTTTTTTTGCTTTACAAATATTTTTTTGTATATAAAGAAATATATTTAGTCTATATAATATAGTTAATCTGTATGTATATGTTATGTTCTACATATAGTATATATATAATGTAATGTATGTGTTTATATTGTAAATTAATCATATTATGTATTTTAATCAAGATTTGTTTCAAAAAGAGCTTAATAAACCTGTAGTAAGTGATGGCGCCTCATTGCCTTGTGGTAATAAAGTTTGAATCAATTGCGTCTGTCCCACCTCGTTTTTGTACAAAAAGCATTGGAAGCAATATAATACTGAACATCGCAGAACAAACGGTTGCTTCTCATTCACCATGGACATCAATAATACAACAATGGCTGGTCTATAATGTATTTATTTATAAATCATTTCTCATAATCTCGAATGGTATTAATATATTAAATGGTTATATATATAAAACATACCTTGGAGGAGTGCTCGGTGCCATGACACTCGCCAAAAATTCTTGATTACTAGCATTTCCTCTTATGACTTCTGCTACAGTATTAATGGTCTCTGTTAATATATCTGCGGGTACCCCACTAGCCATTAGTATATCACACAAAGCTTGCAACAATCCACATGCTCTCATAGTTCGTTGACAAGCTGCGACTGCCTTCACATATATAAATTTTTTAGTTATTAATGAGAAAATAGAATAATAAGTTAAATATAATAATAAGACAAATTTTGTAAATATGATAATGCTAATATCTTTACCTGAGCAGGAGCACTTGGTGCAACCAATGCTCGTACAACTTGCACCATGCAATGAACATTGGATACTTTCTGTGGACTCCAGCCACCAAAGTTATTATCTTCTATTTCATTGGGTATTTGAAACATTGGCGTCAATTTCTGAATATAGCTACCTATATATTGCAATATAAAAATTATGAGGGACACAAGGGCAAAATTATAAGAATTATAGAAAATTTAATTATTGAAAATATATATTACCTTCCTTAAAAAAGTTTTGATTACTGACATTTCCTCTTAGAAGATTTAACATCAGTAAGAGACAATCTTCCACGACAATACCACCATCTGCATTACCCTCTTGGTCAATAACATCAAATATACGATCAAATGCATTTTCAAATGCTACTATTTTCTGAATGTTTGCGTTGCCTTTTGTTAATTGAATGAGTAGCAACAAAACCTAAATAACAAATATAAATAATATATATTGAAAACAAGAGAGTGACATCGCTCTTCATATTTCAAAAATATTTACTTAAAAATTGTTAATTTAACATACATCATTACGTATAACTTCTCTGCTGTCACTCAGTAAATCCATCAATTTAGAGACTCCCATAGGACTGACCAAAATTATTTCTTGAATATCTTTAGATCTGTTTGCCAATAAATGTGTTAATAGTTTCAGTGCAGGCCATCTGACACGAAAATCAAACTCTTCAAGAAATGTCAGTATTAATCCAATACTATCTGGATGCTTGATAAATATTTCTGTAAACTGTTCTCCTATTTTGTTTTTAGGACCGTGTTTATCCACTGAAAATAATGCGGAACAATTAGATGAATAAAAATCAATAACATCGAAGATGAAGTCTCACCTTCTTCGTCGAATGTTTCGGGACTTGTTATATTACATAGAGTGTCCAAGGCTAAACCAATTATTTCGCAATCTGTCCTATCCATTTCCAATACTTGTCTCAACGCATCCATCCCTTGAGCACCAACTTCCACACGATATGTGCGTGATAATGCTTTGAGCGCACGACAGGCATCTCTCCTGTCATTGAGTAATGTGGAAGACTGCAATCTGTCTACTAATCTTTCCACCTGTATTAAAATACACAGATATCGTAAGAGCAATCGTATTGCAATAATTGTTTATAAGTTAATTTGTTATACTACGATAAAAAGCTTTATCAGTTAACTAATGTCAATGTATGAGAAATAACCTCTCGGCTATGGAAAACATATCGAATATTAGCATTTTCACTCACTGTATCAGCACCTGTCGGCTGCGTGCCAGCGGGAACGGTTCCTAAGACGGATTTGAGACTGCTTTTAAAATACTCCATTCTTTTCCTTCGTCAAACTTTCAACGTCTGTTAATATAAACTACACACGTCACACGTCGACATTTCAAACGATCCACCGGAGATTTCGCATTACACCGGGCGGTGGTAAAAACCATAGACATGGTAAAAACCGGGTGTATATAGAAAGTGTAGATTTAGGCCTGAATTTGTATTCAAGGCTTCACAGGACAAGGGCGTCAACGTAAGCAAGAAGCAGCGATAACCAATCAACTAGCAGCTTTTCCGTAAGAATGAAAGATTAAAATACCATCTTAAAATACCATCCAGTCAATGAAATGATCATGAAACAGACGAAACAGACTATCACGGACTATGAATAAAAATAATTAATCTAATAGAGTTCAAATTATTATCATATATCTATATACATTAATAAAATGTATTATTGCCGAATGTTCTCGAGTATATTTATTCGCGTTGTATGAAAACGTAGCGAAATTTTAATTATTTTAGCCGTTTTTGCGACAGATATATTTATCGTCTATAAACGTATCTTTAATTCCTTATAGCAAAATTATATGTGATTGTATGCTAAAGATCCTTTTGACAAGATGTACATGCCACAAAAACCATTAATCGTTGCGATTAAAAAAAGGTAATTACGATAACGTGACATCGAATACACCTATAAAATGCTGTGTAGAAAAGTTTGAGAACATTATTGTTGTACATTTCTTGATTTTTCAGTTTTACTTGCACGAAATACTTTAACTTCTGGCAGAGATGTAATCTTTCCTCTCAAAGAATACCTATTGACTTAAATGAAAATCAGAAGAAATCTGTTACATCATTTCCACCACTGACGGAACCTATTTCTAATCTACCGAAACCTATATATTCTACTGCAAAAGAGGAGCATCATAAAACAGAAATTACAGTTTTACCAAATGGTTTAAAAGTTGCATCAGAAAATAGATTTGGACAATTTTGTACCATAGGTGGTGAGTTAAAAATTAAGGAATATTATTTAAATAATATAATCACAATTTATATTGAATTTATATTCAAATACATTATCTTTTTGATTTTCAGTTCTTATCGATTCGGGTCCACGATATGAAGCAGCTTATCCAAGTGGAATTTCACACTTTCTTGAAAAATTAGCATTTGGTGTAAGATTTGATTAACTCTTATTAACTTTTACACTTAGCTTAAAATGTATTATAAGAAAATGCACACAAACCTGTATTATATTGCTTGTTACAGTCTACAAATACGTATGATAGCAAAGATAAAATAATGTTGGCATTAGAGAAACATGGTGGTATATGCGATTGCCAGGCATCTCGCGACACATTTGTATATGCAGCATCGGCGGAACGTCGTGGGCTGGATATAGTAACTCAAGTTCTCGGTGATATTGTTTTGAGACCACAAATTACAGAGGAAGAAGTATGTAACAATGTGTAATATACATATATATAAAGAAATCTTTCTTTGTATTTCTCATAATATTTTATTACATTATAAAGCATAGTCCTCATAAACATCATCAAAGATTGCTAGATATATTTATATGTTTGTACAAATTAAAGTTGAATCATTTACAGGTGCAAATTGCCAGACAAACTGTACAATTCGAATTGGAGTCTTTACATACGAGGCCAGAACAAGAACCCATATTAATGGATATGATTCATGCTGTAAGTTTAAAATATATAACATATTTTAAACATATTTCTTTTTACCAGAATTACAAATATATTTTCTTGTTATAAGGAAAGAAAACATAATTATGGATATGTTATATTGATAGGCTGCGTATAGAAACAACACATTAGGTTTGCCCAAGATTTGCCCACAAGAGAACATTGAAAAGATTGACAGAAAGACTTTACACACATATCTCAAGTATCATTATGTACCAAGTAGAATGGTAGTTGCTGGAGTTGGTGTTGAACATGATGAGTTGGTCCATGCCGTTAACAAGTAATAATCATAAATTTTCAATAAATAATGATAATTTTCCAAATAATTTGGTACATTTTTGAAAATATAAGTTAAATGCATCATCATTTTTATGATTTTTATGACATTGATAATGATATGTAGATTTTTTAAATCTTTCTTTGTTCATGTGTGCTAATAACATTATTTTTTACATAGATACTTTGTAGATCAAAAACCTATCTGGGAGGGACAAAATGATCTTATTCTGCCAAATAATGCAAATACCGTTGATAGATCTATTGCACAATACAGTGCAGGATATGTTATGGTATGCTCATTCATATTGTATGCAAATATTCTTTTTTTATTATGAAATCAAGAGAAATAAAAGGCCTTTTTATATTTTGAATAGGAGGAATGCAATGTGCCAATTTACGCGGGACCTAGTGGCTTGCCCGAATTATCACACGTTGTTATAGGTTTGGAAGGTTGTTCCCATCAAGATCCAGATTTTGTCGCTATGTGCGTATTAAATATGATGATGGGAGGCGGCGGCAGTTTTAGCGCTGGCGGTCCTGGAAAAGGCATGTATACGCGTTTGTACACCAATGTATTGAATAGGTAAGATAATTTTATATTATATATTTTATTTAAATATAAGAAGAGACAAAATTATTTTTTATATCTCTTTTTTAACATCTTTTGTATTGTATTATTTTTATTATAATCGAAGAATGTGAATGAATACATTTTTAATTTGTAAAGTTCAATTTATTTATTACATCTTGGATATTATATGCAAATTACAGATTTATTCTTACACCAAATCTCTCAGTCAAGAACATCATAACATCATAATATCAGACTATGTTAACTTCAATTAATGTTTTAGATATCATTGGTTGTACAGTGCAACTGCATACAATCATGCTTATGCAGATACTGGGCTGTTTTGTATTCATGCCTCATGCACACCATCTTATGTAAAGGATATGGTAGAAGTAATTGTACATGAAATGGTCGCCATGACAAGCGGAGTCTCGGATAATGAATTAGCGGTACGATTTTACTTTACATATCTTTGAATTAAACTAACAATTAAAAACATATCATGTTTTTATATGACTGTTAATTCATACCTATTGCCATAAATTAAAATGAGATGTTCAGAATCACAAATCCCAAATCACACACACTTCGATTTTCACTAAATCATTGTCCTATAATCAATAATTACATTTTGCAAATACCTTTCTCTTTTATATAGAGAGCAAAGAAGCAATTGCAGTCAATGCTACTTATGAATCTGGAACAACGACCCGTTGTATTTGAAGATATTGGTAGACAAGTTCTAGCAACTGGTTCTAGAAAAAGGCCAGAATATTTCATGCAAGCCATTGGTAAGTTGTGAAGTTAACTTTGTTGTTTTAATAAATCACATTTTTTCAATAACACTCTTAAAAAAATATGTTTACAGATGGAATATCTAAGGACGATATTGATAGAGTAACACGACGTTTATTGAAATCGCCACCTTGCATAGCGGCACGCGGCGAAGTAAAGACCGTACCTTCTATCGCGGACATTCAAAATGGCTTGCTTGATTCGCAAGGTCGGTTACCTGGTTCTCGCAGCAGATTGTCACTTTTTCGTTAAAATCATGCATAAAATATTCAAACAATCTCGTCCTAAATAAATGTTACTTAACTATATCAAATTATAAATTAATAATTATATAGAAACTTTTTTTTATTTATTAGATAAAAAAAGAATAGTAAGGCCTGAGTTTGTCCCTTTCATTGATATTTAACATTCTATTTCATATTAAGTTGAAACTTATGAAACCTACGATATGAAATATATTGTTATATATTTCTTGGATAAAATTTATCAAAATAATTATGAAATTGTATTTTTTGATATTGTATTATATTGTAATATCATTATTATATGTGATTATCATTTCAAATAGTAGGTTGTACATAAAACATTTCATTAAAAATTGAAAATTCAAGATAATTCATTTATCTCATTCAACAGCACAAGAGAAAAACTATTGATTAACTGGAAGCTTAACGTGCAAGATATAACAAGATTAATTTGTTAATTTTCGCGCGAATTTGGGCATTTTCGTTACGTTTGATAATGGATTTATGCCACAGAAACAAATACGTAAAAACAATTCAAGTATTAATAACAAAATTAGATTCTGTGTCAAAATTTTTATTATGAAGTCAACTTGTACCTCCTGATAATAATTTATTTAAAAAAGATAGAAATATATAATATGTAAATAATATATAAACAATTACAATTTATAAACTCATCATATATGTATTGGGTTTTCTTTATTCTTCATTTATACACACAAATCTGTGCATACATCATAAACATGATTCTGATAGAAGAATAGTTACACCTCTGCTTCCTCCAAAGTTTTGAGGAACGAGGCCTTCTTCTGAGCTACACGATTCTTTCTCTCGGACAAAGATAATTTCGCGCGATTCCATCTCTTCTTGACTGGTTCCTTTTCCCTCGTGATCTTCTTGTGTTCTGGGTCGGCACGAATTGCTTCATGGGCTTTCTTGTATATATTCTCGATCTATCAAAAACAATACATTTTTCATATTATCTCTATACTTATCTATATGCATATTTAGCAATAGTGTAACATGGGTCTATTTTGATAAATGCAGTAATGCATTCACATTTAATAACCAATGAACATTGCTATTGTCCAACTGCGACGCTACATAGATTTAATTAATCTAAGCAACAATTATAAGTTGGACGTATGTGTGCATTAAAATAATATGAATATATATTTAAAATTATGTTACAATTATGCTTACATCATTCGCAGAGATGCCGTGCTTAATATATTGTGAAAATTGTCTCTTGAAAGCTTCGTCATCCTCTTCTTCCAAAGTTTTCATATAGTTCGCAACATGTTGACCAAATATATGCTGTCTATGCACTTCTGCATTGAATGCCTTAGATTCAGGATCGTATCCAGGAAATCTTTTGCAGCTATAGAACAAGATAACAGAAAAGTCATTAAATGACTGAAGTTACATAGTGCAATATTTTGAAAGTCAATGTTATCAGAGAGACACTATTTAATCCTTATATCTATGTGACATTACATATAAGAATCTGTTTATTACTTATGAGGAATATCGAGACCGCCATCAACCGCGCCTTTCATAGCACCAAAAACTCGAGCGCCCGTTGTGGTGCGCATTAGTCCTGTGTCTAGATAACATTTGAAGGCACCTGGGCCATCATCCAATTCCTCAACAGTATATTCATCACCTGTTACTTCTGTGTTACCCGCATACAAAGTATCCAATCCCAACTTCTTAAGGAGCTATGAGAACAAAACATAATTGATTTTAGAAAATCATAAAATATTTGTTTTTTTTTATACAACTGTATAATATTTTTGCTAATCAGGATACATGTAGGGAACAATTGTGTTTTCTTCAGTGAAACATCAAAGTGAGCTAGGTGTTTCATCATGTTAGCAATATATATTATAGATATAGATATTGTTGAAAAAAATAGGAAAGATATGACTTACTCTTCTGGCCAAGAGCAAACCAGTGCAATAAGCAGATGCATAGTTGGTGAGACCAACTTTAATGCCGTATTTGGGAAGTTCATGGCTGTAAGCAGCACACACAATCCTATCACCCTCAATTCTAGAATAAGCAACCTTGAAAAAGGATATATCCATTATTAGCTAATTACCGAT